CACAACATTGCAAAACTGATTTCGGTGACAACCATAGACCTGCTGCACTGAGGAGGCTCCAGCTCACTGGCCCTGTTCAGCAAGAGCCAAAGCAGCAGAGCCTGTTTCCACCCACCCAAGTACAGCAGTCAGCTGTCATCTTGCTCTGTGATGGCCTGAGTAAGAACTAAGAATTCATACCTCTCATCTTACTCCTGAGGGGAAAAAAAAAAAAAAGTCCAAAAGTCAAAACTTATTTTCTCCCTGCTTGGTTAAGGCATGACTCTTGTCTGAAGCTGGATTGACAGCAGATGGGTTTTAAAAATAGAGCTCTGCAAGAGACAGGATACCAAGTACACAAAGCAATGCTGCTTTAACCAGCGACGGGTTAAGGCTCGGCTTTGAGCCGCAGCTCAGAGCAGGTTATTTCTGGCCCTTCTGCACACAAACACCATTCAGCCTGCTTCTGTGGCACTGATCCTGCTACAAAAATCTGCTAGCACCAAACTTCCTGCAAGAAGGGTTTACAAAAACAAAAGAGCATCTTAAAAAAACATAATCAAACAACAACTTCAGCACAGAAAGCATCACAAGCTCCCATCTTCCAAATTTCAAAAAGCAATTTGAAAATTGAACAGCAACATGCTCCCATTAGCCGTGCTGGCAGTCTTCAGTGCCATTAAAGTTCTTTCAGAACAGGAATATCAAGCAAGCAGTATCTCAACTGGGGATGAGACTTTTCTCCCATTTTCCAAATCAGTTTGGATCACATCTCATACCACTCTGGCTTTTGTGTTTGGTTTGGTTTGGTTTTAAATAAAATTACAGACATTTTTGTAGGTCAGAGCTCAATTGTAACCATGAAAAATTAGTTTCCCTCAGAGAAAAACAGCACCAACACAAAACCTGGCTCCTTTTTCTTCATGCCAGAACAAATCACAAATTCTAAGGGGAAAAAAGGGTTGGCTGCAGAAATTAAGGTCTTTTCACCATCAAAAATAAAAAATATAAATTACCCAAACCGAGATCAGTGAGGATGGTAGCATTTTGCTTGTAGCACATGGAAAGCCAATACTGATTTCACATGTATATAATAAACACAAAACATTGTCAGAAAAATGGAATGACGCCTGGTCAATCAATATATGTGCAGTAACACTCAAAAATATTTTAATTCCCAGCACAGGTTGCACTGAATGGGAATTAATCTTCAGGAACACTCAATTTGCTGTTCTAGCCAAAGAAATGAGCCGAAACCTTATTTATTCAGGGCAGCACTTAGGCAAGTGTGATGCATTTTTCAGCATACTGAACAATATTAAAAGCAGCTCCAATTTCAGATGACCAAGTATTGCCACATATATTCTAAGTATTTCCTATTCTGCACATCTGTGAAATCATCATGGCTTGCTTTCCTTTTCAAAGCACAGACATTTCCTCTTAAAAAAGAATGGTGATAGATGACAATTAATTTCTTCAGAGAACAAAATGTGCTTTAAATCACCAGAAAACAGGGAAAAGGAGGAAAAGCAAAAACCCAATTTCTATAGCTTTCATAACCATTATACCTTTTATTTACATTTAGAAAGATAAGTCATGAAACTTAAAACAATAAAACCAAATGCAACTTGTACAGAAATCTTTTAAGTTTGTTTTTATTTATCACACATTAAAAAATGAAACACACTATACAAATGGTTTTTCATAGCAGATTACACATGGGTCCATTCAGACTCGCTCTCAAAGTGCTGCCAACATTTATAAGGGCTGCCTGTGCTGGCAGCTATTTATCATATAGCCAATGTATTGATTTAAATGCAGTAGCATGCAACCCTTAAAGGAGAAGGGTTTGATTCCTTTCTGTTCTTAAATTAGGTTAAATGGCATTGGTGTCCGTATTTACATACTTGAAATGTATCAATCCTGAGCAGTTCTGATGTAAATCTGAGACTGGCTGATGGGAGTCCTGGTCTCAGTGATTAAAAAGGGAGGTCCAAATGGCAGCAGGGTGGCTGCTATGAAGTTCCGTTGCTTTCATTCTTTCCATCACATACCTATTTGCCGAGTGTCACACAGTCAAGTAACTGCTAATAAAAATGTTAAGCCAAGTAACTGTAGGTGTCCTTCTCACCATCCACGCGTTCCAAGTACTCCTTCTCAATCAGAATGTCGATGCATTTCTGTGGGAGAAACGAACGTGAGCGGTGGGACCCTGGCAGAAAAGCCCTCTCTCTGGTTGCTACAAAACTCTGAACGATTCTGGCCACTAAGTTTCATGCCAAAAAGAGGACAGGACTAGGTGAAGGGCACAAACCACAGCAATTTGCTCTCCTGTTTCTGACCACATCCAAGTGGAGGACTTGACTAATCCACTGAACTGAATTACACTTACTGGGTGCCATTCCAGGGTAGTGACAGGGAGACCAACTGATCATCAGTATGCTGAGCAACTCCCCAGTAAGACGGCAAATGAGGAGTTAAACCAAGACACAGAGTGCTTACTGTTACTAAAGACAGCCCTTGCAGTACCTACAGCTGCCTGCTCCAGGACTTGACTGGGTACATCTTTCAGCACTGGTGCCAGTTTATGCACCTACTCTCCACTGCCTGGTTTTGCCCCATCTACCCCCTTGGCTGTGGATGTAAAAAACCACTGGTGGGACCACTAAACAAACATAATGCCCCCCTCCCCAACATTTTTATTCTAGAAGAGATCAGGAAACTGTTCTATTGAGCTGGCCTACAAGCAGTGGTACGCCCGTAACAGGGAGAGCAGGAACAAGAGGTAAGCCTGGAGCAGAGGCTGCTGAAAGCTGGCACCAGTGAGAAAAGATGCAATCCAACTGCTATTTCACCACTGCCAACAATATGAAACATGCATGTTACTGTAAGAGAAACACAGTATTTCTGGTTCAAGTATTTCCTACTTAATTACAACTCCAAAAATTAGTCCTTCCCCATCCCGTCTCCTTGACTTCCCTTCTTAATTCAGAAGCATGTATTTTGACTCTGTATGTCCTCCTCACCTCCTGGAATACAGGTTTAGAGATGCAGTTCTCACATACCTTAATTACTGGAACTCGTGGCTTGAACCTTGACGACAGCTGTGTTAGCACTTCCCCAAGCAGTTGCTGGTGTTTTAGAACCTTCCTCATTTTCATGATTCTCACAATAGCAGCCTGCACAGCCAAGTCAGAAAAGTGTGCTTAGGAGCAAACTACTTGTCCCTCTGGACCAACAAAGCCATCGTACCTCCCTAGCAGAGGACGTCTGCTAGCGCAGAAGCATCGTCATAGCAAACCTGAGTAGCAGCTGGGGAGAAGCACGCCAACAAACGTCAGCTACTCAGGCAGACCTTAGGAACTCAGACTCTACACAGCATACGGCCATCAGAAGTGGTCTGACACATGAATTTTAAGAACTACTCTGCTTACAGTCAGTCGTAACAATAGCACCAACTGGTACCAACGGCAATGTGAAATGACTTACATAACAAACAGAAAGCCTTATGTAACAGAAATACTTAACCTCTCTGTGACACTCCCTTAGTAGTACCTTTGCCTTCCTCTCCCCTGCCCCTTTGCTTCTCACGTGGATTCCAAATGAACTGATAGACAAGCACTGTTGAGTTTGTACTACCTGTGTACTACTGGTTTTCACCCAGGACCGAGGGCTGCTGAGCATGTGCATCCACGGAACCCAAACACTTATCAGCTCTTCTGCACTTCCTATTACTGACTCCAATCCCCTTTAAAGGTATCGTAAATATGTTTTTACCTCCAACACAGAGCACTACAATGGCACGTTCTCTTTCAATAAAAATTAAGAAAACCTCACAGTAAGCTTCACTGAAGGATTACAAAGCTGTAATTCTAAGTTCATGGCATGGCAGCATTCTGCAATACAAGTCACCTGAATCAGTAGTTTCCTATCTTCCTCTATGTTTTTGTGTGTAGTTTCCTGTTCCTGCTTCTGTTCAGTCTTCATTGGCACATTGATATTTACCCTTAATTTTTTACTGTAAAGAAAGACAGAAGTTAGTAGCCTGTTTGAAAAGCAGTCAAACAAACAGCCCCTCCTTCCCCCTCAAAGACCCTAAACGGAACCCAGCTCCAAAATAAACGCCACACCACCACGATTACTTTACAACAAAAGGAGACTTTGGCACTTCTGAAAATTTTAGATGATCTTACTCGAGTTTAAGAAAAATAAATAAAACTCAAAACCCCACAACCAACCAAAAAACACAAAATACCTTTTTGGTGGTTGTTCGTGTATTTACTGAATCCAACCTAGAGATCTGTTGGGTCAAACTAGCGCTGTAGTTGAAAGACATCCGTGTTTAGTGAGAAGCTTTCGGTCAGCGAGTGTGAAAAAGAATGCCAGTGAAAACAGAATCACCTTTCCGATACACACACTGGATTCTGACCAAAACGTGAAGAAATCCATTTGTTCCGTAAAACTGACCTCTGCCTTGCTCTTGCCCGCTGCCTGGTGCCCAGGGCTGTGCCAGGGCGAGCCCGCTACCACACCTGACCGCTCTCTGGACAAGGTGCAGCGTCCCGAGCGGGGAAGGAGCCCCAGCAGCAGGGCACCAGGGAGCGTGGGGCAGAACTCTGCCGTGTTGGCTGCACCGGGGAACGCTGCCCTGGAGAGGGGATGTGTTCTGTATTTAGCACAGTCCTGTGCGTCATATTGGGAACCACCGAGCTGCACAGTGCAGCAACACTGAGCTGTTTCCATCACTGCACTAACGTAACTGACCATGAATTCTCAAACCGTTAATTATTGGTCAAGGAAGGAAGAAAGCAGATAAAGAGTGAGGTACAAGGAAAGGTTTTAAAATGTTTCTTTCACATAAGATCTTATCTTCTTCAGGAAGTACTGAACTCCTCACTGAATTTATGCGTGTTTACATCTACGCTCTGGCAAGCATGATAAACAGTCACCACAGTGCTACAAACAGCTTAAAATACATGAACATTGAAAGCAACACTGGCTGAAGTAGGACATAAAAACTACTGAGCATTGTGTTTATTAAGTTTTCAAATCACTGTACACTCTGAAGTTCTAAAATGAGCCTGCTGATCTTCTCACGTTATCTTTACTGGATGAACATTTAAGACTTTGACCTTTGCTGGTGACTGTACACTACTGTAACCTTACAAAATATAATGTGTTTTGCTGAGTGCATGCAAGTCATGTCTCCTGGTAAAAAACAGCGCAATTTCTTACTGGAAATAAATTAGACAAGAATCAGATAAGAAACAAGGAACAAAAAGGCGATATGAAAAGTATGTTCAGGCCTTGACAGACTTTATGACAAAGCCAGGTAGCTGAAATCTTCCCTATCCCCCCCTACTTGCCAACTCTCTCCTTTAAAGCTGGTATGTTGGATCTATATTTGAATTGGCACTTGAACCCTAGGCCTTTCATCCCAGACATACTAGGTTTTACCCAAATTTTGAAAGCAGAGAAGGAGCACTATACAAAGGTGATGCATGCTACTGAAGTTTTTCCTTACTTTTTATAACCAAGATACAGTTTTATTAAGGTATCTGGTTTTAACTCCACCTCATCAACATTTGCATTTTCATCTTCCAAAACCTGCAAGAAATAAAATAAAATAAAATAAATAAATAAATAGGCACCAATACATTCTGCTGAATGTTAAGCAGGTCATAAAAAAGCAAGAGTACTTACAAGCAATTTTGATTTCAACAGTATCTGTAGAACTTGTGCCAAGATGTCCTACAAAATTACAGAAAGTATTATCAGCACAGACAGACAGCACCTTTCTCAAAATACTTCAACAAGAATACACAGATTGAAACTAAGAACTAGTGAGTGCAGAACACTGCAAAATGAGTGTGTGTGGGGGGAAGTAAAAATGTAGTTCACATAACATGTAATAAGGCCCTTTTTGGGAATTAGGACATGTTTTCCTTGCGGTTAGTCAAACAACATCAAATCCTTTAGAAAGATGAATTCCAAACAACAGATCTTTCCAATTGCTGTTTTAGGAGCTATTCTGCAAGCAGATCTATAAGTGTAAACATATATATATATTTTTTCCCCCCTAAACCATGCAAATATAGATACCATGGCAGGCTTAAACCTCGGAAAGCAAGCACCCTCTGCTTTCTGACTAACATGTTTTTCTTTTCTTGCCTAAACCAGGAATCTGTTCTGCTTACAGTCCCTGGTCAGTCACCTGGATGGCTATACTACTGTCGATGTTCTGTGCAGACTTGCAAAGCTGGTATTTTACCACAGTGGAAGTCCTCTAGGTTTCAAGCAGTTAGTTTTCAGCTGTATAAAGACTTTTATTCTCGTCCAACAACAATTTGGGCCAAATATTTATTTTACATAAATAAATACATATACCTATATCTGTAACTATCCGCAAACAAGCATCTATAATAAGTTGCAACCCCATAAAGACAGTTCTGAGTTTGCTGGAAAGCATCAGCAGCAGTAACTTTCTAGATATGCATTTCTGAAAGTAAAGATCTCACTGACTCGGAATTGCCTAACTTTCCAGAAGTCCCAGCAGTCTTGATTCAAACCTACTAGTGATGGACACAGATGCCAAATAAACTGTGGGCCATGGAGTCTACTTGGAAAGAAAAAGAGGGAACCTTTTCCACAAGAGAGAGTGAGCCAATGAAACTATGGATTTTACTATGTTCATGCATATAAGCCTTGCGATGTAAAGAACGGATGCACAGATCAATCATTTAGGGAAAATGCTGTTTTTTCCTAGAATGTTGTCTTTTAATATTAATATGTACGTAGTGAAACACTGAAAACTTACTACCAGAGCTCAGGAGGAAGCTAGGCAATTCACTCTAGGCATGAACAGGAGCACATACACACTAAGATTCATCAGAAGACTACACAGTTATGATTATAGGAAAGTAAACCAGGAAAGCAAGTTGACCAAGAATAGTGCACATCTGTCTACTTCAGGACAGAAACAGACACTGGGTTCAATGATGTCTAACTCCAATTTCTTATGACAGCAGGAAGAGCCCTGAAGACCAAAACACTTGTTCACAAGGGTGTAGTACAATGTGCAAAGTCACTACCATTTTTATTTGAGTACTGTCTGTCAGCTGCTGCACGGTATAGGCATCTTCTGTGTTGTACTGCAGTAAAATCGCCATCTGGAACGTGGATGCCTAACAGATCCAAAAAAAGAGAATGAAGGGGAAAGGGGGGAAATCAGAAAACGGGAATGAACAAACATGCTTTCTGAATTTGAACAGCCTGAAATTCACCAGTTAAACACATACACTGGAATACTTAGACAACAGAGAATAGCCAACTAGTGCTCATCATTACGCAATCCAGAAAAATCTGATGTTACTTATACAACCAGAACTCTACCTTCCAGCATTATCTAAACATAAACCCAAAGATTATGATCGTTTAACTAGCTGCAGCCACTTCATCAAATCTTCTGTTACGCTGTCAAAGCCTTATCTTTCTGCTTGCTAATATAATTTTACATTATTTTCCTCTGTCACTCCATGACTCTTACCCATTTAATCATCATTAAAACCTACACGGACTACTGAATTAATCCTCACAACCCTCCCAACTCCAGCAGAACAAAGAACCCAAATTTATAAACAAGGCAGCTATCAGTGGCTTATTCACATCTATCACCACAGGGTTAACATATATCGATGACAAGTTCAAAGTCTGAGATCACCTTGCTGCTTCTCACTGTTATGAACTCCCCTTCTCTGTCTACTTTTTGCAGAGAAAGCAGACAGAGAAGTATAAGAAGCATGAGATCTTATGCAAAGAGGCTGGAGTTGTCTCACAACACGGTTCAACGCCTGTTTAAACCACAAGTAATGGACTCTCTTTTCTAAGTCAAGTTTCTTTTAAATATAGATCTTAAGTATCAGTACAGTAAATAAATCCAATATATAATAAAGGTTCTATTAATCACAACACCAACCACCATCTGGGGAGGGCTAACATTTATGTTCACTTCAGTAAAACACAGATCTGGAGCCATCAGGTCTTGCATATGTGCTTTGCTTTAAATAAAGACAGTAGTTTTGTTCACAGGAATAAAGCAAATGAACCCATGGGAGCACCATAAGTAGTAAGCAGCTAAACATAACTGTGTGTGATGCATATGAACATACACACACCCTCTCAATTAAGAAATTGCATGATTTAAAATACTTAATTGTGACATATCACTACATACCGTTAATCAATATTTTGACGTACAAATTAAAATACAGCTCAAGTCACTGTATTATCTATTAACATTAGTTTGTGTGCAGGCACAGGTATTCACATGAACTCCACTACTTCAACATCTACACACTTCACCATTTTAAACACATTTATCAGCACAATGGTCCTTAAAAGTAAGGAGGAGCAATTATCTCAAAACGAGGAGTGAAAAGCAGCTCATCCAGAAAACACAGGAGCAGTGGAGCAGAGCCTGAACACTCTTTTGAACAATCAGCAGCATCCAGACCTCTGAATGCAATCACCACCGAGCGCTTCTATCGGCAGGACGTTATCCTTACCTGTAACGTGTATCTATTTTTGAAACAGTTGGTAACCAATTCCCCTTTGGACAGCTGGTACAACCACGTTAATTTTCTCCCGCTATGACGACTGGCATAAAATGCAGTAAATCGCTGATAGCTCCGTTCTAACTGTATAAAACCAACAACAATAATTAAAGAAATAAGGTTATTTACCATTACCAGAACATGCTCTGGGACCCACAAAGGAGAATCAAGTCTGCCTCTACTGCCATGTTGTCTGGATAAGACAAACAGAAATCCAAAATATTCGAATTCTTCAGACTGGATGAAAATTTCCTTTTTTTATGAGTTTCCCCTTTAAAATGTCATTAACAATACAAACCTAAACAAGCATTTAAGTTCCATTCTTTCATGATACATTAGGCAAGGTAGAAAGGCGATTTCTTTGAACCACCTTCATCCTCCAGGTAACAACAGTTAAACGTATTTCTCATTTTAAGGATTCATGTCCTGTCTATTCTGGATAAGCACTCAACAGAAAGCTAATGGTTATAATATCCAAAGATTTTACTGGACAGAGCTGAAGCAATGGCAAGAAAAAGTTTCTTAAACAAAAGTATACACAGAAAAATACATTAACAAAGATTTGCTTCAGTTACTGTTGAACGTTTTGAAGAAAGATTCATTAACCAGGGTCTTTCCACAGAAGAAAACAGTTGTGTATTTCACACAGTTCCCTCCCTACGACCTTACTCACTCATCTTGTTCCAAATATCCTCTAGCCAACCAGGCAAACACCAGGGAGACTTCCAGTCCTCTCTGACACACAACAAAACAGGAGGGAACATCTTCCTTGCAAAACAAATTTCCTGCATGGTCATTCCGCGTTCAGATGAACCAAGTGCAAGCGCCTCACCTCAGATGGCAGAGCAAATGTGCAGGACTGCTGGAACGGCCACGATCCAGAACTCAGCACCTGGATGCTGAAATCCACTGGAAGAGAAGTGAAGAGGCTGAGCTGCATCATCCCCCTTGCTCCCAACCCCGGTTCAAACACGCAGTCCCAGTTCTCACACAAACAAGAAATGGTTCTGCCTTTTGCTCAAACAAACATGAAAAATCATTAAGCGATAAGTATTTTTTTTTTATTCAGACCATAAAGCAAAGGAATTCAGGTAAGATGTCACTGCAGTTGGAGCTTTAGATTTACTTTGATGGTCACTCAATTTTCTCTCATTTGTAGAAGTTATTACCCTGTTTCTATCCCCACAAGGGATTTCTCTTAACATTCACGTGTAGAAATTGTTAAGCATTAATTTTTACGTGTAACTAAAACTCATCACTCCACAGTACGCAACTAAGAATAAACATTTCGCGTTTATACTTGTACGGCATTTTGGGCAAGTCAGTAAGAATAATTAAAAAACTAAGCAAAATTTAAGCCTGACAATACACAACTCTCAATGTAATGCAACAAATAATTATCAAGTTCTTTACAAAATTTGTTTCAATGTGCTTCAATGAAAAAAGTATTTCTTTATTAAAAAGTGATAGGGCTGTCAATAGCATAAAACGCAACTTCTTTTTTTCCTTAATACTTTTATAGAAGTACGAACTCGAGTCACGTTGTGCTCAAGATCAAAACCATTTAAAGAAAAACATCTTTCCAATCAAAAAGAAATTACAGGATTCAACTTCATTAAACTATATACCTAAACATGAGCTGCAAAATCAGGAGGAGGCTACCCATAACAGAAGATGTAAAGTGCTATTAGAAGACAAAGTACAGACCTAAAAGACTAATTTAAAAATCCTAGCTATCTTGGTCAAAACAATACTATCTCTAACTTCTGGAGGTATGATGTCTAAATCAAATATTTCCCTCATATAGTTAGCTCTGCAGAAATAAGAGAAAGCTGAACTACTCAACAGTAATTTAGGTAAATGTATTACTTACAATCTAAGGGTTCTGAATTGGTCAGGTGCTTTTTAAATTGCTCATTCAAGTCCTTGCTTACACCAATATCTTGGAACATCCGCTGCAGCTTGGAGGTATACTCAAAACCACAAGCTTGCTGTATTTTAAAAAGCACAGATATGTCAGCAAGACACTTCTTTTGACATTAGAGAATGAGAAGAACAAAGTATCAGATCCTATTTTCTTAAAAGATGTACAAAGTTCAGTATTTCCCTTACTCAAAGTACTGATCCCAACTAGACATGCTCTTTAACTGTCATCAAAAACTCAAGAAATTTTTGTTTAAAAATCAAGCAAAGCACACAATGAAACAGCCTAATAAAAAAACGTTAGATCATATTTTGCTCGACCCTGAATCATAGAATGGTTAGGGTTGGAAGGGACCTTAAAGATCATCTAGTTTCAACCTCCCTGCCATGGGCAGGGAAATCCTCCACTACACCAGGTTGCCCAGAAAGTGTTAATGAAATTAAGCAACTTAAATTAATGTTCATGAACAAGTGTTAATGAAATTAAGCAACTTTTCAGCAGTCATTCCTTTGGAGAATTATATCTATGTCATTCATTTGGGTAAGAATAATCAAACTTAACTCCATCAGACAGACATGCACTACAAGTTCCTAGCAGGTAAAAAAAGAAAAAGGAAAAAAAGAAAAAATAAAGATCTAAGTTGTGTTTTTCCATTGTACATAAAATAATGAAATGAAAGGACATACATCAATGCTTTCCAAGGCAGCCTGAAGACCTGCAATATGGTAGAACATGGTATGGTCATGGAATACTCACTTTTAGTTTAGAGATCATGCTTGCCTCAGCATCATCACTAGCACTATTCTGATGCACAAGTCTTTTTGCCAGCATTTTAGCATAGAATTTTTGAAACACATCTTTATCCTCAATGTACTTGAAGACAACCATCTGGAAAAGCCAAGATAATTTGTAAGTAAAAAAAAAAAATAAAAAAAATTAAGCACTTGTCTTGAAAAGGCTGCAGCAGTAGTTACTTCATTTCCACTCAAATTTTTAAGGGCAGGGTTTTTTTGTTCTTTTTTTTTGTGGGGGTGGAAGGTGGGCAGTAGTGGCGTGTCTTTGTTTTAAATGTGGATAGTATTTCAAACACATTAACAGTATATTCCACATGTACAGCCTTATATATATGAGTAAATATGTAGTGTGTGTATGTAATTATACAAAAACATATTGTCGAAATTATACACATTATATACCTATATAAAAACGACATAAAAGCTTAAGTTCCATTTAGCCACTTTAAATCTGATTAAAGGGCTTTTTTTTTTTTAATTAAAAAATACAACTAACAAGCCACACAGATGAAGATTACTGAAAAGCTGAAATATTAGGTAATGAAATCAAACATACAAAATAAAAGGTTTTCTCTCATCTGACTTGTGCTACAATCAAACATTACTAACTTACGAAAGCTTACGCAGAAGAGAACTGTATTTATAGACATCTTACCACTTGATTGAGTGTATCTTCTAATTCTGCTTCTTCTGGATTCTTTGAGCTGCAATTAAAGAAGTGCATTGATAATGAGTCCCAAAACTGCTGAATTAAAACAGCATATGGATGTATATGGACATTTCAAAGGAAGACAGATTGAGTAGTTCTGGGATCAAAAGACTCTTTAGAGAGGAAACAGCGTAATGAATGCTTCTCTTCACTACTCCACATGTAAGCAATTCTGAAGCACCTAATTTTTATACAATAGGGTGAAGTCCTGGACCATGAATTGCTGGGGACTTCCTGATAGCCTGATACTTCTCAGGATTTATGGCCTTGAACATGTATCTCTCTCTTCCTGCCTTTCTTCTGCTGCTAAATGCAATCTTTGTTTCTTATCCTAGATAGAAAGTAAAAAGAAAACAGCTCAGAGAGCTCGGTCTGGACCGGGCAAGAGCTCAGGTGGCATCACATTGTTTTCCTCCATATCATGCTTGTCCATCAGGCTTACCCCAAATCTACCCTGCAGAAAGCTAGTACTTACAAAGCAGAAAGTAAACCTTTGCTCAAGGAAAGAGGGGATGGGGAAGGGAAAAGTGAGCAAGTTCTTCTGGTTTTGGGTTATTTGGTGGTGTTTTTTTCTGTTCCCAAAAACAGCTAGAAAAGTTGCCCGTGACAAAACTGACACTAATCCAGTATGAACTGAACTGATACTACCTCAGTGTATGAGCTGCTGAATCATTTGAAGCCAAATACCTTAATTAAATTATGAACCACAAGAGGTTAGAAAGCAGTTTTTGTCCTCCTCAATTTCTGCCCAGATGGAAGAAGATATAGAAAAAACAACAGGAGGAAAACATGACTTGTAATGGAAAAAGGGAACATGCGTCTCTTCTTTACAACATACAACACAACTCAAATTTTTTGGGAAAAAAAAACAAACCTAGAAAACCCCTCTATTAAAAAAATAGAACTTAGTTTCCTATAAGGAAAGAAAGGTCTTAGATCTTTTATTATTTCCTCCTTCTTCTTTAAAAAAGAAAAGTAAACTCCATATAATTTTAAGGAACGGTCCTATTGAAATTTTTGTATTTGGAATTTGGTATAATCAATTTTTATTGAAACGTTAAGTTCTGTTTCTGAAGATACAACATAAAACTTCATATGTTAAAACCTTTTAAAACAAAAGCCAACCTGAAATAATAATTTGTCTTCGAAGACGTACCTTTTCTTTAGTAAAGAGTCACAGTATCGTGCCAGTAGCTCTGGGGATTTACTGGATGATTGAGCCATTTTTGTCACTGCATTATTATTTATAAATCGACCACAAGCCTATAAATCACAAAAGACAGTGAAATTTTGGGAGACGGAACACTGAATAGAAAAAAAAGTTCACCATATGCCACTACATGTACTTACTTTGTCTAGTGCAGCCACAAAGCCAGCATCATTGTTGAATGCAGACATGACTAAAGCATTATATTTCTTATGGACATCCAACACTGTCTGTACATACATTTTTGGATCCTGCAATAAAGAGAGATTGGTTTTTGCAATCTGTTGACTTTCTGCTTTCTACTTCCTCCAAAATGGAGCTCCTCACTGGCCTAAGCAAATTTTTATGAGGAAAGACTACAAAGTATTAGAAAAATTTTAAAAGTAACATAGTATCCAGCCTAGTTTAGGTCCTATGTCCAGGACTGACTTACACTAGCACAAGCTTTCATTTACAGCAACCAGAGTGCAGAGTCTACTACAATTTACAGTACAAAAGACGACAAACCCACTTACTCAACCATTGCAAACGTTTCCAAGAAGGATGTTTCCAAAAACATAAGCCTAATTCGGATCACACCTGAGAGAGCTGGACAATCATAAATAGGCAGTTGCTATAGAAGAAACACTCAAAATAAATCTCTGTAGTACAAACGTAACTGGTGTATCCCCAATAGGTACAACTTAGTATAGAGACCTCAATCATTGTTAACAGCTCTTAAAAATTATCTCCTCAACACTCAGTGACAGCCAAACGCCAATAAACATCACGTTTATGGCACCCACAGACCGAGTCCTGTGTGCAATTACTGATCTCTGCATCTCAATAAAGACGGAGCAGAGTCAGAACAGTGAAGGGTAACTAAAACACCAGGCAGACAGGGCAGCTACTGTACAATAAAGACTAGAAGTCTTCATTTTGGAGATCAGAAGTTTGAAAGGGTCTATGACCAAGGTTTACAAAACCGTGAGGATAGCTGAAATGATGAATGATCATTAAAAGCCACATTTTATAACTATGGGGCACTTGATGAAAGCGATAGGAAACAAGTTTAGGACAGATCAAGAACACCTTTATATGTAAAGTAGTGGACTTCTGGAACTTGCTGCCACAGGAGGTTGTTGGAAACAGATAATACCAACAGGTTCAAGAATGGATTAGACAAACTCACAGACAACAGGTCCATAAAAAAAAAACCTAAAACTGCTGGGCATGGAGGTATTCCTGTAACATTCCTATTTCAAGAGTTCTGGACGCTGGCAACAAATGGCAAAAGATGGGCAGGGTTGTATCAGGATCCTGAAAAACATTTCCTGTTGCCACTGAAGACACACATAGACTACGTGGACCACCAATCAAATGATGTGCTTGAGATAAAGAACAGAGATTATTGAGAACCTCTCAGACAAGAAATTCAAGTGGACTTTAAGGACATTCAGAAAGGTGTCTACTGACTACAATGACTTCAAAAAAACCCAAAGGTACAAAAAGCAGAAATCTTCTCACTGAAGAGCAGTCTCGTTAATATAGTTAATGGAGTCTACAGCACAACTCATCCTGCAGTGAAAATCTAAAATAGGTCAGATGAGTCAAGCTAGTATGACTGTTTCTCTCCACTGACTACAGTGAAACTGAGAAGCATTTGCTCAGCTGATTATCTGTTTAGACACAGTACAGATAAAGGAAGTTAGTCAGAATCAATCCTACCTAAGTGCTATAGAGAGCTAACAAGGCACTGATGAATAGCAATACAGTGGTGTGAAGGATATTGGAAGACGAGGCAAGACAGTTTCCAAGAATGACAGTCAGAGATACTGTTATGAAAATGAAGAACAAACGTGCGGAAAGAGAAAAGGAACAAAAGAGAAAGATGAAGAAACAAGAGTTTAGTAAGCTGCTGGGAGTCAAAAGAACTAATACATATGAATCTCAGGCTTCCTCTCTCTCAAAGATGAACTAATTCTTGGAGAAAGAGATTTCATTTTTCTGGGAAATTCTTCAAGGTCTAAGCACAAACTCACTCAAGAGTGATGACCACCAGTGGGACATGTCAACCATGGAGCACATCTGATTTTGAAATTTAAGGTGATGTCTACAAGTGAAGCTGAATAGTCCTGAACTTGCTTTATGATTCATAAAAGATCAACACTGCTAAAAAGCTATGCACTTAAAACTACAGAAGTGAACAACAGACACTACACATGTGAAACATTTTAACCTGTGCTAAAAACTAAAGTTTTTACTGTTCCCCATGCAGTCATTACAGATTACTGCTTTAATGATTACAAGTATGAAGCTATTTCAAAAATATCTGAGGCAAATAACCGGTTAAAACGGACTCTGCAAAAAAAAAAAAACTAAGTTAAACCCCATTTTAAATAAAATTTACCAGAATCTATATTCTATCCTAAGTTTGCTTTGTGCAATGTTTTATTCAATTTTTTTTTCTAGAAAGTGTCATTTTGTCTATAGATAACAAGGTTAGCAAAGGGTTTAAACAACTTCACATTGCCAAGATTCAATCCTAATCAATACAAAATTAAGCCTGAAATGACAACTAAGGGACAAAATTAAGAAAGCCAATTATATGGCTAAACGATCCCAGTGTTGCAGAAGACCTGACCTGTCTGTGCCCTCTCCAACCATTTCAGTTTTCTTCCTCTTACATTTCTCATGCTTTTCCAAATAGAATAAAGCCATTCACCAAAAAACTAAAACCAACAGAAACTTTCTCCACACAGTCCCATTCAAGTCAGAAGTCTATAAGACGATGAAATAAAATACAGTCCATTAGAAATGATGCTTCTTGAAACAGTGCACTTTCAGGTGTATTTTTAAGTGTAAGATGATGTATTTGCACAGCCTGCTTTCTGAGCAGCATGACATTCAGACAGAAAGCAAAAACTCAGAAGGAAAAAAAAAATAACACACACACACAAAAACACACAAACACAAAAAACCACAAAGACCCCAAAACTCAAAGAGTAGTAACACAGTGATGTGACTGTTGTTTTAAGCCTACTATCAACATTGGAGAATTTCCTAGTCCTCACTGATTACATCAGGAGAGAGAAAACATAAGCAAACTGGAAATTATATCAGGAAGCATTCACTCTCCTCTAACGTAAAACTGGCAGCAACCACACACAGACTTATTTTGATGAGATACTTGCATTTAGAGCAGCTTCTCCACATTTCTCAATTGCAGCTAGACCCTGATTATGAATGTGAGTTTCCAAAAGCTTTTTCAGCTCTCCAAGGCCATCCTGGATTCGAGATACAAGGTTATACATGCGTCCCAAGTCTGGAGAGGGAAAAAAAAATAAAGGAAAGCCAGCATCTCCCATTTGTACTAGCTATAACTCCAATTCCTCATTTACAAGTTGCCAATAGGAGTTAAACACCCATCATCAACAAAAACATACGTGCAATTGCTCCTGTTAACAAGCCAGAAGAAACTACAGCAAAAGATTATACAGTATAGCAAATCTTTACACTAACCTGGAAAGTTAAGACTAGTTAAAGCGAAAGCAACTTACTAAATATTAAATATAAATATCCGTTTTACCTTCACAATGCTACATAAACATCAAGACCAAAAAAACTACTTAAAATATAGAAATATATTTACTTCTGATTTGTAGTTTTCATAATTTGAAGAGGTGTACCCTCGTATTTAGACGAAGTTTTGAAGTGTTATCATGAATTAAGACTGTCATTAGTGTTACTGCTGGCTGTGCTAAGAGTACAATATTCTCCCGCAGATCACTGTCCTTTAAATCTTCTTCTGAACAGGATAGTTCTCAGATCTAACATCACCTGTAGCCTTTTGTATATTAGTATTTCTGCTTGGAGCAGTATCAGTGGTAATGGTTGAAAATTTAAGGCAAAATGTTACGTATTGATATGACCTTACCAGATAAACTGAAACATTAGAAACCAAATTTCCTCTAATAAAGCACTGTCAATAAAGCCATTGTCCTGGTTTTAGCCGGGACCAGGATTAGCTCTTCTTTCTAGCAGC